GCAGAAGTGAAAGAAAGACGAACAGGTGAGAAAGAAGGAAGAAAAGAAGAGTAAGGGAGAAAAAAAGAAGAAAAGAAGAGTAGGGGAGAAAGAAAGATGGTAAGAAGAGTAGGAGAGAAAGAAAGAAGGTAAGAAGAGTAGGAGAGAAAGAAAGAAGAAAAGAAGAGCAGGAGAGAAAGAAAGATGGTAAGAAGAGTAGGGGAGAAAGAAAGAAGAGGAGAGGAGAAAGAAAGACGGTAAGAAAAACAGATGAGAATGAAAGAAGAGCAGGAGAGAAAGAAAGTGATAAAGAAAAAAAAAGGTGAAACGAATGTTCGTCTTTAAGGAAATGTAAAGGAAAGAGAAGCGAGTTAAATGAAAAAAGCGGAATGCATATGAAAAAGAGAAGGAGAAAAATAAAAGAATGAAAGAAAAATAAAGTGTGGAAGAAGGTTAATATGAAGAAGGATTGGAAGAAATGTGGAAGAATAAAAATGGTAAAATGAAAAATTTAAAGGAAATGAAACATAACAATAAGGAAAATGAAGATGAAAAAGAAGTTGAAAAAGACGGAAAAAGACATTCATCAAAAACAAAAAGAGAAAGAAAGAAAAAGAAAGTAAAAGAAAGAAAGAAAGAAAAAGAAAGAAAGTAAAAGAAAGAAAGAAAGAAAGAAAAAGGAAGAAAGAAAAAGAAAGAAAGAAAGAAAAAGGAAGAAAGAAAAGGAAAGAAAGAAAAGGAAAGAAAGAAAAGGAAAGAAAAACTATCATAAGAGCAAACGAGAAAGAGGCGAAAGATGAAGAGGGTGAGGTTAATGAAGAAGAAGAAGAAGAAGAAGAAGAAGAAGAAGAAGAAGAAGAAGAAGAAGAAGAAAAAGAATTACACAAGATTACAAGATCAGGATGAAAAATAAAGAAAGGAAGATGTTGAATAAGGAGTATGAAAAGTCAGAGAATGAAAAAGAAATAAACAAAGTCGGAGTGAGAGAAAGAAGAAGAAGAAGAAGAAGAAGAAGAAGAAGAAAAAGAAATGAAAGAAGAGAAAAAGAAAGCAGTGAAGAATAAGATTGAAACGAAGAAGATGTGGAGAGAGAAAAGAAATAAAGAAAGAAGAGAAGGAGGGCAAGAATTGAATGAAGGAGAAGGAGACAAAGGAAGAATAAAGATAAAGGAAGTATGATAGAAGAAGAAGAAGAAGAAGAAGAAGAAGAAGAAGAAGAAGAAGAAATTGAAAAAGAATTACACAAGATTACAAGATCAGGATGAAAAATAAAGAAAGGAAGATGTTGAATAAGGAGTAAGAAAAGTCAGAGAATGAAAAAGAAATAGACAAAGTCAGAGTGAGAGAAAGCAGATGAAGAAGAAGAAGAAAAAGAAGAAGAAGATGATGACGAAGAAGAAGATAGAAAAGTAAAACGAAAAAGAAGAAGATGATGAATAAGAAGAAATCTTTACAGAGACGGTAAATGAAAAAGTCGTTGAAAGAAAGTCAGTCAGTAAATATTGAAACGTCTGAGATGAGGGGGCCTGCTGTTGATGTGAAAGTCATCTGTTGGGGAGTGGGAGTGGTTATGAGAGACCCTGGGGAGGCGCGGCAAGCTTGCTCATGTCGGACAAGCGTGTGATGATCGCCTGGCGAAGACGTCCCTTCAGTCTATCAGTTCCGGTGCCTTGGCAACCAAAACAAGGTCACCACGCCGAATTAGGTGGCTAATATACGGGCTTTTAACAGTGGAATCATCAGACATGATGGGTTCGGGGTGGAATTTCTGCTGAAGAGAAAAGAGATTGACTCCGTGAATAGAGAAAACTGGCAGTAATTCCTTCAAGGAAACAAACAAAAAGAAAAAAAAAAGAAGAAAGAAAAAGGATTTTACAAGTACATTTCAATTCAGAGTATCTTTTTGCTTTATGTATTTAATCGCTCTTTCCTTTGTTTTATTTTTTTTTATTTTTTTTATTTAATCGATTCTCTTTCCTTTGTTTTTCTTTTTTTTTTTATTTTTTTCTTTCAATTTAATTTTTTCATCTTCTTTTTTCCCTCTTTCTTTTCCTTTCTTTTCATTCTTTTCTTTTTTTACGTCTTTTCTTTCTTTTTCTTTCTTTCTTTTACTTTCATCTTCTTTCCTTTATTTTTTGCTTATTACTTTCATCCTGCTTTCCTCCTCATCTGTCTTTTCTTTTTAAAGCAATTCGATCTTTTTTTTCTTTCTTTTTTTCTTTCTTTCTCCGGAACTCTTTTCACTTTAGATTGTTTCTTTCTTTTAAAGTTTCTCTTTCATTTATTTCATTCTTTAATCGCCATTTTTTTATTTTTTCATTTTACTTTTATTTTGATTTTTATTCGTTTCTTTCTTTCTTTCTTTCTTTTACTAAATTTTATCATTTCATTCTTTTGTTCTTTTCTTCTTAAAACTTTTTTTTTCATTCTTAAAATTTTTTATTACTTTCTTTTTAGATTTTTAAATTCATTGTTTCTTTTAACTCTCTTCTTTCTTTTTTTTTACCCCCTCCTTTGTTTTGTTTTTCAGTTTACGCTTGAAATCTTTCATTCAGAGTTTCTGGATTTACTTTTTAAAAATTTTTGATGTTACTTTTTTCATTCTTTTAAAATCCTTGTTTTATAACATTTTCTTTTCAACTTTTCTTTTCATTTTAGCATTCTCAAACAAACTTCTTAAAAATCCTTTTCATTCTATCTTTTTTTGAAATCTTTTTGTTTTTTTTTTTTGAAAATTTTTTTACACTTTTTTCTAAAACACTTTTTTTATTTGCTTAAAACCATTCCTTTCTTTTTCTAAATCATTTTTCTTAAAATGTTTCTTAAACTTCCTTCTTAAAACCACTTCTCATTGTTTAAAAAATCCTTGTAAAATCCTTCTCTTCTGAAAATCTCTTTGAAATCTCTTTCTTTCTTAAACCCGTTTTTAAAACTTTTTTAAAAACTTCTTTCTTTCTTAAAATCTTTCTTTCTCAAAACTTTTTGTTAAAATCCTTGTTTCTGAAAACTCTTTTGTTTCTTGAAACCCGTTCTTTCTTTAAACTTCTTTCTTTCTTAAAAATCTTTCTTTCCAAAAAATCATTGTTTCTTAAAATTCTTAAAAAACTTTTTTCCAAAAAAATCACCCTTAAAAATTCATTCATTCTTAAAATTCCTTGTTTCTTAAACACTTTATTTCTTAAAACTCCTTGATTCTGAAAAACTCCGCTTTCTTAAAAATACTTTTTCTTAAAAATCATTGTTTCGTAAAACTCCTTGTTGCTTAAATCCTCTTCCATTCTTAAACTCCTTTCTTTCTTAAAAATTCTTATTTCTGAAAACTCCTTGTTTATTACCCTCCCCCATTTTTTCTTAAAACACATTTCTTTATTATGATTCCTTTTTATTCTTTAAACTATGTGTTTCTTGAAACCAATTCTTTGTTTAAACCCCGTCTTTCTTAAAAAATTTTGTTTCTTAAAACACTTTGTTTCGTAATACTTCCTTCTTATAGCCCCTTGTTTCTTAAAGTTTTTGTTTCTTAAAACCCCTTCTTTCTTGAAAATCCTTCTTTCTTAAAACTCTTTGTTTCTTAAAACACCTTCTTTCTTGAAAATCCTTCTTTCTTAAAACTCTTTGTTTCTTAAAACACCTTCTTTCTTGAAACTTCTTTCTTAAAGATCTTTGTTTCTTAAAACCTACTCTTACTTAAAACAACCTCTTAAAACACTTTCTTATCTTTGATTATCAGCGTGGTACTTGCGTTACGTTCTTTTTTCTGCTGTTTTTATGTCGATCTTTGTCATTTTATGAAATTCTGTTTTTATTTCTTTGTATTTTCTACTTTATAATCAATTTTTTCAAGTTTCTCTTTCTTTTTCACTATTCGATTTATCTCTCACTGTTTTTAATTCTAGCAAAAAGAAGGGACGTAATTTAAAGTGACAAATAGGGGAAAACCAACTAGTTAGCTGGCAATACGAAATTAGAATCAAAATCATAAAAAGGGAAGAACAGAATGAACCAACCGGTTATCGCTCCTCACTAGTCCGAACTCGATCGAAGAATGAAAACCTTTTGAGACGTCTTTATTTTTTTTTATAAACAAATCACATACAAATGGTGATCTTGGCTTAATGAAAATTAAAGGACTTTTGAATGGAATCCACAAAAAGCTAAGGACATGTGATCTCGGAAGGATGATGCACACTCCTGATTTAAGTATAAGACGATGTTTCTCAACGTTTTTAAGCAAAGGGACACCTAGAAGCAAGTGAAAATATCACGGTACACTTAGCAAAATTTTTATTTTTTTTTATTTTAGTTTACTAAGAGTATCCCCACCCCACCAAATAGACGAACGTATTTTATGTAAACAATACGCTAATTCTCCGCCTTTGAACTTATCTGCGCTACATTTGAAATTACGGGGGCACGAAAGTGCAATAAAATAAGCCGGAAGATATTTCCAAAAGTGAGAAGTGTGAGAAAAGAAACTGAACGCTTACATCTAAACCATTTCGACTTTAAAATGACGAAACCTTGTCGCTAATTTTTCTATTTCTTTCTTTCTGATTTTAATTCTAGCAAAAAGATGAGACATAATTTAAAATGACAAATAATGGAAAATCAACTAGTTAACTGGCAATACGAAATTAGAATCATAAAAACGGAAGAACAGAATGAACCAACCGGTTATCGCTCCTCACTAATCCGAACTCGATCGAGTAAAGTAAACCTTTTTGTTTTTGCACACTAACTAAAAAAGAAAACATGGTAAAGAAAATACATGTATCAATAATATATTAATATAATTTTATGTTTTTATAAACAAATCACATTAATTCCTAAGAACCATTCATTTTCTGTTTTTTTTTGTTTGTTTGTTTATTATTTCACGCCAAGCAAGGTAATAAAGCCACGAAGATACAGGGGTTTATTGACTGTAAAAGTGCTGAAGACAGAAGGTAACGATTGACATTGCATTTAAATTTTTAAAGATCAAACTTTACCGGAAAGCAAGAATCTGGAATGATTTCCGCAAGAGAGAAGTAAGAGAAAAAAAAGCATTAGCCTAGAACTTAAGGTTACATTTAATCATTTCCATTGTAAAATGCTGAGACCTAGCTGTCAATCTAGTACGGAGTTTAAATTCATAAATTCTAGATTTTGATCTTACCAAGGATCTTAAAATATAAAGCGGGGGAACCAGGCCATATGTGGCAGCAATATTCAAAGTATGGTCGAATGGTAGGCTTTTAAAAATATAAGACACAGGGCGATAAAAATGTCTAGCACGATACAGTGAACGAACTTCCCCCAGCAATGGGTTGAGTAGTAAGATTTATATCAGAAATTCATTATTACCCCCCCCGTGAAAAATTCTTATGATCCCAAAATATGTTTCGATTTAAAAGGGTTGATAAACTGTAAAGAAAAACAAACAAATCAATCGAAAGTTTGATTCTATTGTACACTTTTACATACTACTTACATCATTCGGCCGAAATGTTGTGAATATGTCAATAAAGATGAGGACAACAGGACGAACAATGTAAATAGTGACAATACCTTATCTGAGAAAATATAGACCGATCCTGAAGAAGGCTGGAGCCTACAACGGCCGAAACGTCGTGAATATGACAATAAAGATGAGGACAACAGGACGAACAATGTAAATAGTGACAATACCTTATCTGAGAAAATATAGACCGTTCCTGAAGAAGGCTGGAGCCTACAACGGCCGAAACGTCGTGAATATGAAAATAAAGACGAGGACAACAGGACGAATGGTGTAAAAATTGTAAATAATGACAATACCTAAACTCAGAAATATAGAGAAATACTGAAGAAGGTCGGAGCGTACAACGGCTGAAACGTCGTGAATGTGACAATGAAGATGAGGACAAAAGTCCGAACGATGAAAATAGTGTAAATAGTTACAATACCTCATCTCAGAAATATTGACAGATCCTGAAGAAGGCCGGAGCGTGCCACAACCGAAACGTCGTGAATATGGCAATAAAGATGAGGACAACAGTCCGAACGATGAAAATAGTGTAAATAGTTACAATACCTCATCTCAGAAATAGAGACAAACTTTTGCTTACCTCTGTATTTTTCTGATAGTGATTTACTAAGTGTGGTGCTCGATATAGCTGAAGCCCCCAAATATGGATCATCTAGTAACGCTGGAACTCACTAATTCGTAATTGGTCTAGAGCGACTATCTTGCGAACCATTACCTCAAAGTCGATGTGACCATGAATATTTTTGGTATGTTATAAAAGGCTGCAGTTAAATATTAACTTGTTAATTTTACCTTGGAAGAGTCCAGGCACCTCGAGAGAAAAGAAAGGAAAATAAAATAAAATAAAAATAAAATATTTATCGTCAAAATCTCTGTCGTGATTGAGAATAAAGATTTGTGAAAAATATGAGATTTCCTTTACGTGACGAAATTCATTACAACCGTATAGTTTTCATATATATATATATATATATATATATATATATACGAAACCGTATATTTTTCATAAATTTCGAACCGTATTTTTTTTCAGACAACAAAAAAAGGTCTCCATTACAACATAAAAAATAACAAAGAAAATAAATAAATATATTTGCTTCAATAAATATGGATACATACATACACGCACATATATTTTAAGACATTTTTATGTTTACACATTCTTTTTATAGATACAAATTTTTAAGTAAATGCTCTGTTTATAATAAACAGTATTAAACAACATTTACCGGCCTGAAGGCACGAGAAATTTTCATAGAAAATATTCGTCCTCCGACAGGAATCGAACCTGTATCCTATACAGAACCGTCATTTAGCCTGACGTGCCTTAAACGTTTCGGCCATAGAAGAGAGTTTGGTTAGTAATGTCGATTTTAGTGTCTTTAAACTACAATCTTCCATGATTCTCTCAAGTCGATTCATATCTGCTCATGACTATATGACGGTTCCGTATAGGATACAGGTTCGATTCCGAGCATTTACTTAAATATTTGTATCTATAAAAAGAATGTATAAACATAAAAAATGTCTTAAAAAAATTGTCTGACTTTGTCCATTTCATATTATGTATTGGCAACAACCTTTCTTTCAAACATCTTTCACTGAATACGGCTGATATTTTAAAGTTTTCCAGCATCCTAACATTTTTATTTTTGTAGAAGTTAAGGAATATTAAAAGCTGTCCATAATTTTACTCTCCCAAGCGCTGTTGGCCGTTTTTAGTCATTTTCAAGGGTACTTTGTCTCTGTTGGTATTTTTAACTTTTGAATGTTATCTTGTAAATTATGTCTGTGTATTTTTTGAAAAAAGGAGCGCGTTCATTCCAATTCTCTCAAATTCCGCGCACGACTGGAATTCTCCTAAGCATTTTTCTATTTTTTATTTTTAAAAAACTTTCAACACTCCCTGTCCACGATTAAATTATGTAAAATTGATGGTAGGAGAGAATTATTTGATCTACAGGGCCTCTCGAATAGCGAGATGTTTCTGATAATATGATTTATATATAATT